AAGAGCAGCAACAATACAGACTCTGGACAAAAGGCAAATCAATTGGTTAACTGGTTACAAAGAATTATGCAGTTGAGGCCATTTTATTTTTGCAAAAGAGCAAATGCATCAGGGATACCACACTTATTCGGTTGGGATAACTAGCATAATTTCGAGGATGAAATTACTTTAAGGGGGGAAAGAATGTAATACCCCATTCCATTTTGACAAGGAACTAGTTAGGGAATATTATCTTGAAAGAAATAAAAAAAAATTTAAGAAGAATTTAAAATAATCTAAAAGGATCTAGAATGTTGGAGAAGTTTTTAGAAAGTTGTAGAATATTCTAAAAAGTTCAAGAATAACTTAAAATAGTCTAGAATAATCTAAAAGAATCTAGAATGTTGAAGAAATTTCTAGAAAAATCTGAAAGATTCTAGAACATCGAGGAACCTAGAGCACTCCGGAAGAGTCCGAAAAGTTTTAGAAGATTTTAGAGAGATAAAGAGTACTCCACAATGTCCTAGATTAATATGGAGACTTCTAGAGATGTGGAGGATTAACCATTGCATAAATATCTACAATTGGAACCTAAAAAATTCCAAGTAAGGAAATGAAGAGAGAATTTAGAAAGGTTCCCCACACCAAGGTAATAATAACACAAGTCCACATTCTAGAATATTCCTAGGAGTCCTGAAGGCCTATAAATAGGGGACTTGGTTATTGAATTAGGACTTAGGAGGAAAACACATTGGTGACCTCCCACTAGAAAGGGAGAGAGAAGGAAGGTTGGATACTTCTTATAAGAAAAAATGAAACCATGGACGAACAATGTAAGGGATCGACAACTTTTCAATCAACTTCCGACAAAGCATTTCCTTTGGACTTGAGTTGAGTTGTTTGGCATACTACATGTTTTCCCCATATCTCTAAACATTTTAAAAATGATACATAATGCTTGTTCTTTACTACCTTTACAATAATGCTTTACTAATTGTTTAAATATTTGCGGCATACAATTTTGATTATTTTGATGAACTCTTTTGTGAAGTATTGTGACTCAATCATTTGTTTATATGGTGAGACTTTGTGATAGTGAATGGAACCATGATTGAAAGTCCAAGAAAATTATTCCTCTGTATGTGGGTGACTCTAGCCACTAGGAAACAAATTCGGGGAAGGCTGAGGTGACCCTAGTGCTCAACGGTTGAAGGAACAGTTCCTGATGCGTCCTGGTGACCTTTACCGAATCGTCTTAAGAAACAATTCTCGGGCGCCAACCCATGGTGACCCTAAGAGCGATGTTGGATCCAACTCTGAGATATATTCTGGCATTTGATATTTGGTTCCCATCAATTATTGGATATCGTACAGTCACTACCATTATGATATGATTCACCATTGTGGTATGATTTCTTGTTGGAATTCGATTGTGTTATTCTTGAGAAATTGGTTATCTTGATGAAGTTATTTTTTCAAATCTTTGATTTATATGTCGTATGCCAAATATGTTTTTTAGCCACTTTGAATATGCATACATTTTCATTCACTAGGCTTTTTAGCTCAAGTTTTCAAAATAATATTTTTCTAGGCAAATGATTGGAGTGTCAATAGCAGACTCATGGAATTCATTAGGGACTAATAGTGTTGTAACCTCCGTAGCATATATCGTATAGCCATCTTTACAAGTTTGGATAATTGGAACAAACAGGTTCAAGTATGTTGACTTTGACAGATTGACATGAGATCAATTTAGTGTTAATGTTATTTTTCACTCCTATATTATTAGTTTATTGTTAGGCTTACGTGTTCCATAGGTTATGAATCTATGGTTCACTGTCGGTCATGCCCTTAGAGTTGGGGTGTGACAAGAACTAAACAAATTGAGATTAATTATCATTTTATTCAAGACAAGATACTAGCTAAAGATATTATGATTCCACTTGTGAGATCTGAAGATCAGCTTGCAGATATTTTTACCAAAAGCATTGAGTCGTACACGTCTTACAGCCATTTGTTCCAAACTTAGATTATATGACATATATAGTCCAACTTGAGGGAGAGTGTTAGGAGTATTAAGGTACTATATATAAATACTAGAGGACATAGTTGTTAATATCGTACGATACGTCACGATACACCTGAAAAATGATACGTATCGCGTCTCTGTATCGTTTTTGCACCGTATCGTATGATACTATACGATACACCCGATACGTACAATACGTGACGATTCCTTTTTTTATTATTATTTTTTTTAGGTTGAAATGACATCGTTTTACCCTATGACTTATTTTTAAATCACTAGTTAGTGAAACAACGTCGTTTCAGTAATTATAGTTTAAAAAAAATAAACAACATATAACGTTAATGTTTAATTAAATTCAAAATTTCTGATTAATATTAAAATTGTTCAAGCAGTTGATGTTAGAAGTTTAAATTAGAGGTCTTTACATTTTGATATTACTGAACTATATTGAAAACTTGAATAGTTGATGGAATATTAATGAAATACTATGTTATTATGAATCTATGACTTTTTTATAAAGTTATATACATATATTTTATTAATAATTATTTAAAAAATAAAATTGCACGTATCTTACGATACGATATTTTTAAAAAACGATATGCCTTCTGATACACGATTTAACAACAATGCTAGAGGGTATATACGTCTTTTGTACGATTACAAATTAACTGTAAATACAAGGGATTTGTGAGAAGTAGGACCGCTCTTTGTTTCTCTCTAATATTGTGTTAATTCTCTCAACTTAACACTATTTAATGTGACAACATGAGTGCAATACAAGTCACCCACAAGTCGGAGTTTCATAAGCTTAGAAACATATTTGAGATTCAATGATTTCTGCTACCACACCATAAGTTTGAGGGGGTGTTAGAATATTTTAATATTAAAGGTAATTTAGTCTTTTTTTCTCATTATTTTGACTTACTATAAAGGGTCTCTTCTCTGTAATCTTTATTAAGCCTATAGTAAGCAGACTTATGGCTCAATAATAATATTCACTGTCTTTTTTTTCTTTTGTAATTAAATTTAACATACTAAATCATCCAACTCAAAACTAATTCACAATGAGTGAAGAGGTTGTTCAAGCACATAAATTAACCATTGGCGATCTTTATTAATCGATATATGATACAAGTTCTCTTTAAGCACACGCCCACACATGAGACTTAGGCTCCATGGTTCAAAGTATCAGCTAAGTCGTATCCGACTCGACCGATACCGAAACGTTAACGATACACGCTAAAAAAAGGATATAGGCATGACCAGAATACGTCTATAATAAAATATATTTTATATTTTACAATTATTTAACAACTTAAAAATTATAATTTTTTATCATTTGTTAATAGTAGTAAACAAAATTATGAATTTTTACCTTGAAAAAAATATAATATCGTCTCATTATAATATATCCATAAAATGATCATGACCAGATAAAGGAATCAAAACCACATCTAACTAGTTGTAGAATTTATTTTTAAGATTATATTATTATATTATAACTAACTCATTTTTTTATAATCTTTTGACATATAATAGTAGATAACTAGTCATAACTCGTACCTGAAGGCACGATAAAATATAAAATTCGAGCGTCCAAAAAATCGATCCCACTATATTAAATTTTTCAAAATATATTAATTAAAAATTAATTAAATATTAAATAATTAAATATATGATAAAAATAAATAGTATGATATTTTTAGGGAGGAAATATATAAATGATTAAATATGTGATAGAAATAAGTGATATGATTTGACATTTGACTCTGACAAATGGATGATGGGTGAGATAAGTGATTGGTGATGATTTGAGGAAAAAAATATGACTAGGATAAAATTCAAACATACTCTTGTTTTATTATATAGATATTTAAAAAACAATTGTGTCTTCAAAATCAAATAAAATTTTATTGAAATTTTATATTTTATATGAACTTGAAAGGAGAGAGTATAGATTGAAATTAAAAAAAAAAACACATCTTATTACATGTTTAGAAATATTCATATATTTTATTAATTATCGAATACGTATGATGCGTATCTGATACGAGCATGTTGATCTTGATAAAATATCCGTGTTTCATAAATAAGCAACCTTAACCATACAAACTAACTCCATAAGAGAGGTAATTTGGAGTATTGTGGATATATGTGTCATACATTGAGCACAAGTGGCAAATATTTTAAGAAGAGTGCAGAATATTAAACAATCATCTACTTTAAAAAATGGGTGTAACTTGAGTATTTATATTTCAACACACCATCTCACGTGCAGACTATATATTTGGCCTAATACGTAAAATTTTTTTAATAATTAGGGTAACAACAAAATTCGAACATAAGATCTCCTGCTTTGATACCATGTTAAACAACCATCTACTCCAAAAGCTTAAACTGTTTGAGATGATGTAACTTTAATATTTATACTTCAACACAAGAAACCCCTATGTTTTTCCTCCCACACCCTTTTCCACTCTGTCTAAATAAACAGAAGAAATGTTTGAAAGTTTTTCTTTCACCTCTCTCATCTCTTCTTTTCATCTTTACGTTAACAAATCAATCAAAAATGAAGAAAAAGTTGACATGGCTCAAATCTTTTTTAAGCAAGGTCCTAGGGAGGAGTTTCTCCTTAACTAACCAATTCTAAAGTTTTCGTCTTTAAGTTGCTTTTCCTTAAGCTTCTTGGTTGTTAACATGAAGCTTTAAAGTTCAATAAGTAACCATTTTGACATAATAAAAATTTGTCACGACTTCTACTGGATGGGAGTTCTTGTACAGGGTAAGTGTAAGTGCTCAAAAAGTGAAAGTCTGGTGAATCCCTTTCTTATACCATACCAAGGTCAAGGATTTATTATTCTACATGAGTTAGGTCAGTTCATCTTCCAAGGGTGAAGAAGAAAGAGCAGTTACAAGCAATCATCTACTGCTCCCAGTTGTGGTTTTTCCTGGCTCAATAAGATGAACTTCTTGGGGTAGGAGATCATACGTGATATTAAGATCTTCAAAAATTTTCTTCAGCTCTATAACCAGTTCAGATCTCCGCTTGTTCTTCTCTCCGTAGTCTTGAAAGTTCATTGTGTGATTAAGAAAGACGGCCATTTTTATCTTGTTCATATTCTCAATCTCCTTCACCACCACATTGTGATTAGGATGCCAGTGTTGGGGATTTTTCTCTAGATACCTGGCCATTCATTAAAGAACAAAAAATACAAGTTAAATAGGTACCTGTTAAGAGCACATTAACGTCAAACTGAATTCACAACAGCCCACAAAACATCCATGCACAAAGGATCTTCTATTTATATCTGTCAAGGACAGGTTTAATTTTGCAAAATCTTCGTTCCGGCTTGCCTGTTTAGTTTGAGTAATCTAGTGTATTATATTACATTTTTTACAGTTTCATGCTGGGCAAAATGTGTTGATAGACAGCAATTTAGAATGCACTTTTTGTAAGGAACAATTCACCAAGAAAGAAAAAACAAGTATGTTCTACTAAAATGCCTAAGAATCAGAGACAATGACGTACTGAATGGATATGAAACATAGCAATTTAAAAGATGCAACAAAAAAATGTGCACATGTTTACATGAACATGTCTTCAAGGGCCAAGAATATTTTTGCTCTCCCCCTATTCATTTTAATTGGAAAAGTGCTTAATAATGACACAACTCCCACCAACTATCACAAGGTTGATTTTATCACAATTTTGTTGGATTTTTACACTCAATCCAACATAAATTATTAATACCCTGCACCCAACAATGTTATACCACATTTCAATGTGTAGAACTTGTAAAGTCTAGAACAATCACAATTTGCTGTCTGATTCTCTTACGTTGTTTTAGGATTTTGATATTACATTCTTTCTTTCATAAAATTTTCAAAAAAGGAAAAATATGCAAATCATTTGCTCTTTTACATTTGGTCCTTGCAACTAGAAGGCATTTGAAACATCTAGATCCTAAATTTAGACTCTTAAATAAGTCTTGATAATAAAACCACTTACCATGGTTGCTACCAAGCTAGTGTTCACTGAATATGGAGTTGCTGTCAACAAGTCAACTCTTGTACAATTGGGAGGTCAACTACCTCAAGTGAGGTCAACTACCTCAAGCATGCATGGCATCTCTCCAAGCTTATAGAGTGGCATATTTCTAACAATTCGTGCAAGGACTTTAAAAGGATATCTGTCCAGGCTCTACTAAGTTCTGAAGCGAAATTGGGAGTTAAATCCACAAAGACTCTTAAAGAATATTTCAAAGTAATGATGCCCATTATGACTCTCCAAACAATATTGACCTGGGTCATGGACTATCTAGGGTACCATGAAAAAGGCATCACTGCCCAAGTTCACAAAGACAGGCACTGCTGTTAGTGCATGCTCATGTAGAAAAACTTAAAGTGCAATATCCCAAATTTAAGAACAAAAAACAAAATTGGGAGCTAAGTGTAATTATAAAAATAGAGAAATTAAGTGAACTAAAGACATATATTCATTGTTAGGCGATGGACAACCGCTAACCTTATGTGTCCCTACTATATCTACTGGTATGAAGAAAAAATAAATTATCCAATGTGCAGTAGTGGCTGGGACCTACACGTGAAGTGAGAGAAACAACGTAAGGAGAGGAGGAGAGAAAGAAACAATGAGATACAGAAGGAGAAAGAAAAAATAAGAGAGATAATCACTGAAGAGAACAAAAAGGAGAGGGAGTCAGGTCACAAAAATGTGAATATCGAATGAATGATCACAAAGGGGAAAAATATGGCGTCGACAAAGGACGAGAACAAACTGAGCTTTGTTTGACCAAGGGATCTTGTGGTGAAATCATGTACTATCTGGATGATTTTGAGAGGATTGTTCATAATACATGTGTCTTCAAATCTATTATTTTAATTGAAGAATATGTAAGTGGATTAACTCAGAAGAAACACTCTCTATAGCATTTTATTGCTACTGCACTGTTTTTGTATTCTGATTGGTTGAGATGTTATCGTCTGTTCAACATCTATTGATTTATTCAAGTGTGTAGAACGGGTCAGAGCCGGACCTTCCTCTTGGTAGTTGAAGTCTTGCATGTCACTTAGAGGTGAACATTTTTGAGTCGTGCACTCAAGAAGTGTGGACAAGAAGCATGGTGGGTAGGAGCATGCTAGATTCTCACATCATTTGGTTGGGAAAGTGCCTGTTTCCTGGTTTTGAGTTGTTTGTGCAATGTTGATATTGTTTTTTAGACGTAATCAACTTGTTTCCAAATCCAACATTAGGTTGTTTAGTTAACATTTGAGTCTCCACATTTTGTATATTATGTTTTGATCTATTTACTGTTGACCCTATGCTTTATTAAGCATGATTTTGATGATAACAAACATTTTTATATGATCCAACTCTGATCTCTTGTATAAGTCTTTGAATAGTGACGCTATGAGCAACCAATCATGACTGAGTGAAGAGAATAATGTGATGTTTTACATGACAAGAAAAGGAGAAACAAAGCAAAGAAAAAGAGGAACTGAGAAAAGAAGAAGAGCACAACAAAGAAGAACACCGGTTGACCGGAGATGAGGACCGACAATCAATGGACTCTATCAATCAGTTGGACAAAGGCTCTGTTTCTCTTTCTTCCTTGGACCTTTGGACTACCGGTCGACCAAATGTGAACGTTGGAGCTCAAATGGCTGTATCCGAAGACATCCGGTCGACCGGCCTGAATCTGAACCTGTCTAGATTTTAAAAATTAATGCTTAAAAGGCTCATTTATGAAGACAAGGTATAAATAGAAGCAAAGAGGACTTTGAAGAGTAGCATTTGGAATCTTGACTATTGAGAAAAAACAAATAGAAATAATACCTCCATTGTCTTGTTCTTTTAGTTGAAATTATAGAAACAGAATTAGAGTAAGAAAGGGAGAAGAGAAATAGAATAATCTCATTGCCTACACACCCTTATTTATAATAGTGATATTATGAGCAATTACATTATTACCATACACTACTAATAATCTGAAATAAGGCCCTACACTCTTTTATTTATAATAAACTGACATTATGGACAATTACTTTATTATCCTACACAACTAATAATTTTACACTCTCCCTCAAGATGGAGCACACAAATCAAAGATGTCCAACTTGGAACAAAAATTAATGAAGACAAATCGAGTCAATGGTTTGATAAGAACGTTATCTAGCTGATCACTAGACTTGACGTATGATGTGATAAACTCCTTATGCATCAAGTGATTTCGAAAAAAATTGACAATTCACTTCAATGAGTCCTCTCATTGAACACTAGATTTATGGCAATGAAAATAGCTTCTTAGTTGTCACAATGCATCTCCGAGGGCGCACTGATAACCATATCACGAAGTAGTGAACAAACATACAACAACACCCACATTCTATTTCTTGTTACGCCAAGTAACAAAATTACCACCAATAAATGCACAATAACTTGAAAAAGATCGTCTATCAGTACGACTGCTTAGTCAAAATCCAGTAACAAATCTTGAAGGATGAAAGACCTTATAATAATCTTTTACCCAGTGCTCCTTTCAAATACCGAAGAATATGACAAATAACCTCTCAATGAGGCTTATGAGGAGCATGCATGAACCAACTAACCACACCAACAGAATAAGTAATATCAAGACGATAACACCCTACATTATCAAACACTTCACCATTATCAACATCTAACTTAACCATGGAATCCATAGAAGTATCAGTTGGACATGCACCAAATGTACCAATTTTCAACAATAAATACAATATATACTTCTATTGGCACAAACTGATACCTTTCTTTAATTGAACAACTTCAATTCCAAAAAAATACCGAAGAAGACTTAGGCCTTTGGTATAAAACTGATTCCTCAAATGAATCTTAAAATTGGTAATACTATTAAGACATCACCAGTAATGATAATGTCATCAGCATACACAAAAAAATATAATAACACCTATGAAAGAACGACGAATAAACACTGAATGGTATGAAGTAGAACGTTAAAAATCATATTGAAGAACAACGGTAGTGAACCTATCAAACCAAGCACGTCATGATTGTTTCATACCATATAATGCTTTTTCAGACAACAGACTAACTATTCCTTACCAAATACAACATAACTTGGAGGTTGTACCATATATTACTTGATTGTGTAGGTCTCCATATAAAAAAGCATTCTTGATATCCAGTTGATACTAAGACCATATAAAAAAGCACTCACAACAACTAAATAAGAACTCTAGCAGAGTTGAGATGAACAACAAGACAAAAAGTCTCACAACAATCCACACCATATGTCTGGCTGCCAAATCGACCTTCAGATGTTCAACTGAACCATCAGAATGATACTATACTGTGTAGACCCAACGACAACTGAACCATCAAAATGATACTTTACTGTGTAGCCCCAACGACAACTGATAAGTTGTTTACCAACAGAAAGAGAAGTAAGGTCTCATGGATGATTCTTGTTAAGGGCTTTCATTTCCTCATTTATAGCTAATTTCTAAATAGGAGATGTCAATGTCTATTGAAAAGAACTATAAACAAATACCGAAGACATAGTCAATGCAAAATAACAAAAGGATGGTGAAAACGAATACAAATAAATAAAATTAGAAATTGGATGTTTTGTACAATTACCGGTATCTTTCTACAATGTCATAGGCAAATAAAAAGATGTTGAACTAGGTGACAGCTTAGGGAGAAACACCACAATAAAATCAGGTGACGGCTGTGGAGTTGGAGCATATAAAAACTCATCAGTCCTTGGAACAAGGATATAAACCTACAAAGGGGGGGGGGGAGAAAGACTCAAGGAGGAAGAAAATACATAGTCTGAGGTAACAAGGGTTTCTTCTGACTGAAAAAGACTAAATTTTGGGGAAAGTGTATTGCCCGACACAAAAAAGAAGGAAGATGTCCATATAAAAATGTGACATGTCTCAACAAAAAACAAGGTCATAGTAGTGACGACTTTTTTTTAGTACAAGAATATTCCAAAAAGACACACTTAACCGAGCGAGGCGAAAGTTTATCCCTACCCAAACCAAGGAGATGAACAAATGCAACACAACTAAGGACATAAGGAGTGAGACCAAATGGTGATTTATCAAGATAAAGCAACAAGAAAGAATATTTATTGTTCAAAATAGGGAATGTATGCAATTAATAAGAT